TAGCACTATATGTTAGGGAAGGGATAGGATGTAATGAGATAGGGAGCAGGTAGAAGGGGACCAGGTAGGGTGAGCTGGGTAAGATTGATGGGTCTAGCTGAGGGCAGGGATCTGACAGTGGGGGGTATGTTATTGCCCATCAGGTCAATCTGAGACCCTGGATGATGCTCAGATAGGCCAAATTGGAAGGTATTGCAGAGGAGGGACACCAACTTGCTATAATGGGAATTTTCAATGTCCCTAATATTAGTTAGGAGACACACTTGGTAGTGGTGGCTAGTCCTGTCACTTTCTGAAAGCTATGAAGGGAAGGTTTTTCACCCAAAGTGTCTAGGGAACAACAGAGGGTGGGGGTAACACCGTAGACCTGGTTTTGACCAACAGAGAGGATCTGGTGGATGATGCACAGATTAGAGGAGCAAGTAAACTCACTCCCTCATTTCTCCCCACTTCCAAAATCTGCTCCACAGGGGAATGGGAATTCTGATTCAGCCCTGCACAGAAGAATCTTGAAACACAGTTTGGAGGTCACTCAATACTTAAATGATCGTGTCATTCCTACAGCTCCATTAGTGTGTGTGACGATTTATACTCTACAAGAGAAACAGTCCCTGCCCCAGTTAGTTTACAAATTAGAAAAATATCTCAGGGAAAGAACAGAAAAAAGGGAACTGATTGGAGTGATAAATGGGTGCAATGCCATGTGTAAAGGCTCATATTTAAGCCTCAGCCTGAAGTTGCCCCATTTCTGTGTCTCCTTTACATCAATAACCAAGCTGATTTTTCCCGCTTGTCTGCATGCTTACAGCCTTCTTCTCTCCCAGGGTGTGAAGCTGCTGCTTTAGATTCGTCAAGGTGGTCCAGGAGGGAAAGCCCATTTGCTGCTATGCTTGTGCTCGCTGCACAGAAGGGAGCATCTCCCCTCAGAAAGGTGTGTGACTCTGTGGGAAAGAGCAGGCTCTTGGGGAAGGAGCAATGAGTCACCAAGATATTTTCTCTGCAGATAATTGTATAGGGACTTCTTCAATTAGATCCTTGCTTCCAGCATCCATTAACTGATTCTACAAGTTGAGTCATGATAAAGATCCTTGGAAGATGGATTGAAAGTGGGGGTGGAGGATGGATGGATGGATGGGGCAAATAAGAGCACCACCAACTTCTGAGCATCTTCTTCCTTGTTTGAGAGTCCATCTGGTAACTTTCTATACTGTGGAATGGAGGGCAAAGAACTGAATAGCAACACAGCTGGAAAGTTATGCTGGGGATGACCAAACACACCTACTCTGGGGTAACAATGGAAAAGATGGCCTTCCTAGCAACAGCCATTGTTTCCAAAAAAAGATTTGCTTTCTCCCATCACTCCATCTTCTCCATCTTGCCCTGCAAAGCTACTTGGGTTGGACCTCACCCCATAGAGTTTGCTCCAAAGAATGTTCTAAGTGAATCCTCAAATGCTGTTGAGATCAATCCACAGTAGTGTTTGAGAATATAGACTTGCAGATCCACCTTGACTTAGACTCTCTAGGCAGTATGGATAGGATGGTGTCTACTGTACCATCTAGTCCAGTTTTACAGGAAGAATTTCAGCTGATGAGACCTGACGACTTATTGTGTGTGTGCTTCTGACCCCTGCTGTTCATGACTGATTACAGCAGTAGATCCTGCCTTGGATCCAGGAAGTGCTCCACCCTTTCCTTAGTGATGGCTATTGAAAAGAGGTGATGGGTTGGCCACCTTGCAAAGACCTGGAGAGAGATTGAGAGAACCTGTCTACATTTAAACTAGTGCCCGGTCTTCGCCTTGGGGTCAAAGCAGTGGGCTGGCCCATTTCAGGCATGCTTAGATGATATTGATCATTAGGCCCAGTCTGAATGGAGGTTTAGGCCTGGTTTCCTAAGAGCAAAGGAAGTGACTTTTTTTTTTTTAAGGCAGCCATTTGTGCAAATTTCACAATTTCACCCATCCAAAACTGTGCACACATTCACCTCTTGAAAAATCCCCAGGCTGCTTAACATGGCTTGATGGGCCAGCCATCATGTCAAGAGCTGCAGCAGGAAATTGAAAAAAATCTGCATGGTGGACTGGGAAAAAGCTGCTGAGGTTTGACCCTCCAAACAGGCTTCCCTTGCATTTCAAAATAATCAGAAACATGTTCCTGGTTGCAGTGAGAGCAGCCTCCACCAGATGCAAACAGGGCCTCCTGTGACAGCAACAGCTGAGCCAGCATTTCTCAGAAGACACTTTTCTCAAAAAAGTCCACAGGACTGTATTTTCGTCTCCTGCTACAAACAGGATTCCAGTGGGCAGCTTTTTCATACACTTTTTCAAAAGATTGCCTACACACACTCCTGCCAGACATGGGGTACTGTGCAGAATGTGCAATTGGGCTTTGGTGCTCTGCAGCTGAACCCCAAAGACACTGGGAATTCTTTCAACTTTCCCTGGGAAGAAGCCCAGTGGGATTTCAGTCCCTCCCCACACCTGTGGGATTTTGTAGATACTCAGCACGGTTGAAATCTGCACAGAGATCTTGGAGTCGGCCCCTTCGAGGACAGCCAGCACAGTGTTCCTTGGTCCACAGTCATAGTTGTGAACATTGGCCTGCCCAGGAGAGATCAGGTCCAGCAAGGCATCGGAAGCCAGCCATGCATCGAAGTAATTGTCATGGACACTGTAGCCCAGCGTGAGGTTGGGGAGGAGCTGCAGGTTCTGTTTCATTCATGGCTATGTGCTGCACGCAGTATTGGAGGCCATATCCCTATGTGCCACAGTATGTGGGGGGCATGGACAGGAAGGTGCTGATGTACTCATGGGATTCCATTGCCTTTCCCATGAGCATCTGGCTGGCACTGTGGAGATGAACTTTGGGAGGAAGCAGGGTCATCAGGGTGAATGAGAAGGGAAATGTTTGTCCCTCTTTCAGACATGAAGCACTTCTTTAGTGAGAATTGGTCTTCTGCCCCTTCCCAAGATTTCTCTGCCCATTCCAGTTCTCCATGTGCTGATGAAATCACTATAAAGATGGTGCCCTACAAACATCTCTGGAAAGGACAAGAAGCCACTTCTTAGAAACATAGAATCCTAGAATAAAAGAGTTGGAAGGGGCCATGAAGG